TTTCTTTCTTTCTTTCTTTCTTTCTTTCTTTCTTTCTTTCTTTCTTTCTGCTTGGGTTCAGGCACCCTGTGTTCAGACTGAAAATTTCAATATCTCAGCAGCTTCTCAGTTTGTTCAGGTGGTCCCAAATATAAAAGCCTTATATAAAGTCAGCAAGAAGCATCTGTTATTGCTGGAGATGTTGATTGGGCGTCTGGGGATGCCGCTTCCTGATCATTTCTCCTTTCTTCTTTTTGCCCAAAAGGACCCAATGCTGACAGCCACCCAGCTTCAGTGCACCCTTTGTTTGCTGGTTATTTCCCATTTCACTTGGGATAAATAGTTATAAGAACAACTTGAGAGGTATATTGGTCTACACAAAACAGGAGAAACATGGAGTAGTCCCTGGAGAAGTAAACAAGGGAAGTGAGTATGTGAAAATTCTTCATTGAGGGATGTTTAGAATGTATCTTGAGACTTCTGGAATCTTTGCTTCTGCTCCATTTTTGTTTTCCTAGCATCTAGGAGCATTTCTGAGTACTTCACTATGAATGTTCCCTACAGCCCATCTTACTGATGAGGAAAGTGAGGCAGGGAGAATTGCTCAAACTCATATAGAAAATGTTGGAGCCAGGATATACACTCAGACACTCTAGCTCCAGTGTCTACCCTCTAAACAGCTCTAGCTACCCTTCTTAAGGGATCCTGCATTTCCCTTCATGTCCTTTTAAATGCCAAACTACCATATAGTTCCTTTTTAATGCCTTCTGCCTGATTCTTTTTTGTTGCCAGTGTATTTATTTATTTTGAGAGAGAATCCCAAGCAGGCTCTGCACTGTCAGCGCAGAGCTCTACGTGATGCTTAATCTCATGAACTGTAAGATCATGACCTGAGCCAAATCAAGAGTCGAACACTTAACTGACTGAGCTACCCAGGCGCCCCTCCTTCTGCCTGATTCTTGACCCACTGGGCCAGAAGGTGACTCACTAGAATTCTCCATGAAACATTTCCAAGGAGTAGAGGCACCCCCAGAAGAAGGGGATCTTTGTCCCCCTCCCTGGCATGGTAGCGAGCCACAGGGACCATGAGATTGGTGGGAACCATCAATATATACATAAAGGAAAAGCTTACTCATTGGCTGAGCATCAGTGAAAGGGTTGGTGTGCTAGTGTCCAAACAATCCAAAGGCTCTAGAGACAGAGGCAGAGAGGTGGAATTGAGGTCAGGACTGAAACGGGGGAGGAGCCCTTTTAAAGAGAACAGTGGGTGACTGGGCAGCAGAGGGAAAGAGCACAGACCCCGAGATCAGGGGACAAATTCAAATACAGCCGATTGCACGCACCCTATGTGTATTCGCACGCAAGCCACTTAACCTCTTCAGCAGTATAAACAGCTGCCTCACAGCTCTGCTGTTGTATTAATGGGAGCGATGTGAATTACATGTCTAATACGGGCTATGGCCACAGCAGGCTGTCCGTCCATGGCAGTTTTTGAGAGCCCTTTCTCCCCTTGACCAGCCAACTCAGCCTCCCTTTTTCCTTCTTAGATCAGTCTGCTGTAGAAGGATGGAAACTTTCTAGAGTTTGGCTGTTTGCACATGCTGTTCCAAGTATGGCAATGGTTGGGAAAAAGATCTTGGGGTGGGTTATTTTTGGTCATTAGACATATCTTGTAACATTTTATTTTTCTAGCAAGAAGCCACCTATGGCTGGTAATCAATACAGTCAGCATGCTTTCCCTTTGTCCATAATGTGGCTGATGCTGATCTGAAGGATGGGTCAGAGGGGTGGGGTGGGGTCAGCTTGCTGACTCCTGTACAGCCTGACCCTCCCTCACCAGGGTGCTGGCCACTCTTACCTCTGTCGGTTTAGAGACTTTTGTGGTTTGGGTACTTTTGTTTCTGTAGGATAAGGGGTTCTGATTAATGTCCCTCCAACAAGCTAGTTTGCCTTTTTATAAATAATCTCAGCTTTATGCTGTTTTGTCCGTAGCTTAAACCTTGTAGGCTCATCCATCTGAATCTGTTCTTCTCCCTGGGGTTTGCCAACATCTTCATTTGCAAATCTTCTTCAGATTTCTTTCAGGGGTCTTTTGTTCTCTTTTCCATGTTGTTAGCTAGAATGTAAAATGAAATCTAAACTGAGCAAGCACTGACCCCAGGACACCCTGCTGAGCACCTCTTCTGGCAGGAGGCTTGCCAGAGTCTCACCTTTCCTTCATAATCTTTGGTTAATATTCAACCCATGTGACTTGCTCTCTCTGGCCATTTGAACCACGTTAGCAATTAAAGTTTCGTGAGTTGCTGTGCAAAATGCCGCAACTCAAGTCCAAAAATGCAGTGTCTGCTGTGTTTCTTTCCTCCTATCATACTTACCCTCCCTAAAACAAAAAATAAGCTCTCACGTCCTTGTATGCTTTGTCCTTAAGCAAGCCCTTTTGCTTCTTGCCTGAGATTTCTACTGTCCTAGATATATTTACAAATTATATCTTTACTTATGACTGTTGCTAAGTACAGACCTACAGGTGCTGGTTAATTTCAGGACAAATGTCCAGGCATTTTCAGTTTCCGCTTCTTTCCACCCCTCTGCTAGCCAATAAATCCTGAGAAATAATGAAACCTTTCATGGATTTCTTACCTGGGTCTTTGGACATCCCAAACTATTTGTTACCTGGCTCCTTTGATTTGTAAATGTTCAGGGTGTCCAACACCTGCTTTTTGTGTTATTTTCCATCAGCTCTGTTTGTAGAGTCTTTGAAGTCATACCATGGCATCCAATTTCTTTTAGGTAGAACAGTCTTTATCTGAGAGCAGTGATTTTTAGCTAGCGCTGCACATTAGAATCCAAGGGGGAATCATTTAAAAATACAGATGCCCAGGCATCCCCTCCCCCCATGGTATTCTGATTTAGTAGGTTTGGGGTGGGCTTTGTCTGTCTTTGTTTTTTAAAGCTCCTGAGTTGGTTCTAAGGGCACCCTGGTGTAGAGCCACATACCAGAGTAAGTCCCAGGTCGGCGGTGTGCACAGCGGCACCCTGGCTGGCTCCAGCTAAACCCTGGGCTCTGGGCCAAAGACACCCTGGGCCCTGGCTTCTATTACCTTACTCTGACCGGAGGAGGGTCGGTCTGAGTTGGAACATGTATATGTGGGGAAAGTGAGGGGCAAACGGGAAAGGAGGGCTGTCCAGGTGGAGAGAAGAGCAGCATGATGGGCACAGAAACAGGGAAACAGAAGCTCGGCAGTGGTGGGGGAAGAGCCGGCTGACTTGGGACAGAGCACAGGCTGCCTGGTAGAGAGTACCAGGGAGCAGTGGGGGTAGGCCAGCCCTGAGGCGTTGCCGGGCAACAGGCAGCGAATCCCAGTGACATCACCTGTGTACATAAAGCCGAGTCCTATTTTCTTCTCTTCATGATGGCCAAGACAGTCTATTAGAACACAGGACTTTTTGAAGCAACTGAGAATGCATTTTGCTTTGTATGCTATTTCTTGGGCGGGGGGGGTGGGCTATAATACTGACAGCTTCCTCCACACATTTTGTCCAGAGGCCTGGCTCCTGCTAGGGTGATGCCCTGGACCTCTGCCCCAGGTCCCCTCTCCCACCTCTTGGCCAAGGTGACCAACAACAGCAAACACAGGTGGGCCTCCCTATCGGGGTGGGGTTGCTGCCAATGCCTATTTTATTTTATTTTTGCTGAGATTTATAGATTTCCCTTACAAGAGGAGGAGGGATACGGTAAGGAACGAAGAGCAGGTTTGTATTTTAATTTTTCCCCAATGCATACGGACAGGCATTATTATCCACAGTTTATGGCCAAGAACATCGAGTTTAAAAGAGGTTAAGTAGCTTGCCTGCAGTCACAGGATAGTGAGTGGTGGAACGAAGGTGGAGAACCAGGTCTCTCCGGCCCCACACCTCTGCTTTTTCCATTCTACCGCTTGTGCCTGTCTGGGTGGAGGATTGGCCGGGGGCTGTTGAGGCATCCCCCGTGAGGTTAAACCTCATTTGTATTTTTAATCAGACACTCGTGTCTTACGGCACGTCTGGGCTCATTGGAGGCTTTGGGGCATATTTGAGGCAGCTTAAGGTGGATGTAGCGTCTGGGGGAATTGATAATGAGGTTAAGCTGGGATGGTTACAACTTTGCTTCTTGTGCAGGTTTGCCCAGGGCTGCCACTCAAGCTGAGTTTTCAGCTTTTCTTTGGCACCTGGAACATCTGCTCTCGCCAGTTCCATCTTGTCTCCCTGCTTGTGGAGCAGGAGAGGGAAACAGGTGCAGCTCTGAAGATACTCTTGAGTTGTTTCAGGTGATCCTTTTTCTCGGGATGTTTTTGGCTGGTATTTCCCTTTCTTGGGATTCCTGGGAACATCTCAGGGATGGATGAGCCCACAGGACTGCTGTGTCTGGCGGTGGCGTTCTGTATGCCAGGTTTGGAGGGCAATCTCCTAACAAATCTCTGAGCTGCTAGAATATAGTTTCCGTGAGGGCAGAGTCTGGGTCTCCATATCCTTAGCACCTAGCAGAGTGCCTGACCTAGAGTGAGAGCTTTAGAAATAGGTGTTGAATACAGGTTTAGAAATAGGTGTTGAATATAGGTTGAATATAGGTTTAGAAATAGGTGCTCCTGTTCCACGTGGAATTTTCTTTAATTGATGGCCCTGCAGCAAAGAGATTTCCCCAGGTCTATGAATGGAGAGGAATGAAGTCCTCTGTACTACCCTTATTTTTCAGTTGGTTTGCTTGTTTCGTCAGGCAGTTACTTTAGGATCCCTTCATCCCTTTTAGTTCTCTAACCAGTTCCCCTGGGCGTAGTCCTGCCTTTTAATCACACTACAGAGAACAACCTGGTGAAGAGGGAAGGAAAGACTGTCAGCACGACCTTGGCCACTTACCGAGAATACCAAATCGTGGGCTCCGTTTGCTTTGAGGGACCCCTCATCCACGGCCAGGCCAGGACCTCCTTGGTTAGAAAGGACAAGGAGAGCAGCAACAGGGCCTGATGCTTCTCACTAAAGGGAGGGCACAAAGAAGACGCACAAAGGGCTCTTCTCTCCTTGGAGCACGAATGGAGTCTCCTCCTTCCTCAGAATAGGCCGTCTTCATGGGAATTTGGAGTAGTGGTTAGGGTGATGTGTCTGCCTTAAATCTCACTCCTTAAAACCTTCAAATTATGCATTCAGTTGCAATGCAATAATTGGCAAATTATGCATTCAGGTGCATTCAATTGAACTATCTTGAGGGTGGGGGTAAAGAACTGGGAAAATGAGAATGTTTGATTTTTGTTCAGACCTAGAAAATGTCAGGGGATCGGCAGTGGAATGGGGTCAGATTCTCTGAACGGCCCGGTTGTGGATGGGCTCTACAAAGTGAGACACTATGCCCAGCGGATGATTGGAACATGAAACATAACTTCCCATCACTGTTAGTT